CAATTTATATATCGAATAACTAAAAAAAATTCATAATTATCCCACAGTTATCCCACAGTTGTCCCGTAATTGTCTCATAATTTATATATAACAGTGATAATTAAAAAATTCCTGTAGTTGTCCCACAGTTATCCCACAGTTGTCCCGTAGTTGTCTCATGATTTATATACAACATAACGGTAATTAAAAAAATTCCTGTACTTGTCCTGCAATTTATATATCGAATAATTAAAAAAAAAATCTATAGTTATCCCACAGTTATCCCACAGTTGTCCAGTAATTGTCTCATAATTTATATATAACATAGTGATAATTAAAAAATTCCTGTAGTTGTCCCGCAGTTATCCTACAGTTGTCCCGTAGTTGTCCCGCAGTTATCCCACAGTTGTCCCGTAGTTGTCTCGCAGTTATCCCACAGTTGTCCCGTAGTTGTCTCGCAGTTATCCCACAGTTGTCCCGTAGTTGTCCCGCAGTTATCCCACAGTTGTCCCGTAGTTGTCTCATGATTTATATACAACATAACGATAATTAACAATAATTAAAAAAATTCCTGTACTTGTTCTGCAATTTATATATCGAATAACTAAAAAAAATCTATAGTTATCCCACAGTTATCTCACAGTTGTTCTGTAATTGTCTCATGATTTATATATAACATAGTGATAATTAAATACTTGTTCTGCAATTTATATATCATCTAGTATTTGTGCGGAATAACACTAGGGATAGTAAAAAGACTCTTTTTAAGGAATTTATATCTTTTAACCTGAGTTTTAAAACATTATTGATTATGCTGTTGATGGATGAAGCTAAGATTATTGTATCTAATTAGTAAATTTCAACTTCAGTATCTTTATGAAATTTTTATTTATTAATCGAAATATGAATTTTTTTGGTTTCAGTTTGTAATACAAAGGACAAGAAATCACAACTATAGCCATTATTGTCAATACTGAGAATTTTTATTACTGGAATAAGTTCTTTATTATTTCAAAATTTATAATTTTATAAAATAATAAACTATAAAATCATATCTCAGATTAATATTAAATAAATAATCATAGTTGCTTCAGATAATTACTGAGATGTTTAAGTTTTCATTTAAGTTAAGAACTAATCTAAGACATGAGATGTTTAAGTTATTATCTAAGTTAAGAACTAATCTAGGACACAATATATATAAAGAAATAAACATAAATAAAAAAAATAAAAAATAATGACTTCTAAATTATAAGAATATTATTCAAAAAAATTATCATCAAATTCATTCATTACTTCATCAACATCAAAATTCTTATTACCAAGAAATTCATTATTATGTATATTATTAACAACAGTATCAGTTGATTGAAGTTGTGAATTAAATAATCTATATTGTAAATTTATTATATGATCAATATCTAATTGATCTTCTGGTAATATATCAGAATATAACACATTCATTTCATTCAAAATTTCATTATTTTCATCTAATAAAAACTCATCATATTTATCAGATTGGTTCATATTATGTACTATATATTTAATTTCTTCTTCTGTTAACTCATCTGATAAATATTTTAATTCACTTTTTGAATTTATTACATACCATGAATAGATTTTGGCCATTGATTCCAAACAAGTAACATTTAATCTACCTCGCCAGTTTTCACTAAACCATTTTAAAGTTGAATGTATTTGTTTACAACTGGCATTATGAGGTTTCAAATTTAATATTTTAATTGCAAATTCTTTGATATAATTTGGATGAATTTTGAGACAATTACGGGACAACTGTGGGATAACTGTGGGATAATTATGAATTTTTTTTAGTTATTCGATATATAAATTG